TATTTCTTCTTCACAATAGTGTGACTTGAATGCGTCTGAAATAATTTACATTCATTTGTTATTCCATTTCTAAGTTAGATAGAAAAGTTGCCGAGAAGAGAAGAATATAAAACTATTTTTTATCAACGAGTATTTTATTAATAAGGACAGAATTATAATTTCGAAAAAAGTTTAGATAATACATGGAGTGTGTCACATTTCTTTAAGGTTCTTTATTGTTTAAATTTATTGGATTATTTCCAAAGTTATGGAACTCGTGGCATTCGAGGATACTCGAGATCCAATTTAACGAGATAGACGTGTCCTCAGACAAATACCGAAATGCGGGGACGTCACGGGGTCAAGCAATCTCGAGATCCACGCTATGTTTCCGATCGCGAACGCGCTCGAATGTCTTCCACCGACTTTATGTTCCGCGTTGCAACACGAGAAAATATTGAAGCCAAATACTCACATTTTAGGACTACTCGCATTCGATCCGTGAATCTTTTATTTCTGCTTGAAGACTTCGATGACACGGGATGTACTTGTACTTTCAGGTAGATGAGAAGATCTAGAAATAATAAAAAGATATTTTTATCAGCAAGAGTACACAGAAGCTGCTTTTACGATCCGATTCGACGTGATCGTTAAAGGAAAATTGCGCAACCTTATCACGCGTATATATACACGTGCAAGGAGCGTAAAACTAAAGAAAGTCATATTGACAGATCCGGTTTTCGGGTTAACTCAAAACATAGCTTCAAACATAAATACAAGTTTCACTTGTACAAGGATTTAAAAAAAAAATATATATATATATAAATATTCTCCATCTCTATATACAATCTACTACAGTGTAAGCAGCATACATAGTTTCATTATTTTCGCGTAAAAGTTGCTGTTATGTACGTTATTATACATGCAAAGAAACAAGTGTACACTCGAGCAGAAAAGTAAATCATCAGAGGGGCGCATTCTGCCGCGTCATTTTTCCGCGTTACGTTATGCAGATGGAGTTTATAAAAAATCTAAGGGTGCATCCCGGTAACTTTGCCTTCTTTCGACGGCGCATGATTCTTTATTGTCGCCCTTATAATATCTACATCCGAGTTGGTTGATTAAGCCGCTCCTCTCGCCACGGTAGTTACTTACCGGCGATGGAGGACATCATTATTTTTCGTAACTTCGTTTACTTTGGAAATCTGCATTTTGCCGGGCCACGTAGAACGTCACTGTGCTCTAAATGGCCCTCTGCAGCAGCCGTATAAACTCGCGTGTCACTCGCGTGTAATGAGCGTATAAAATGTTTCATTATAATGTATACGCTTGTCGCTGTTGCGGCAATATTTTAGCAACGGTTTTGCGGCGGCTTAACCGATTTGAAGCATATATATTTACATTGTAATTATCGCAAAATTAATGCAAATTAGATCTGCATAAAATGCGCATTTATTGATTAATCAATGTTATTTTCCCCCTATCATCACAGATTTATTAATTAATGCGTTAATTATTTTGCAGTTAAAAAAGGGAGTTACTGGGCTAATGTTATTTATATTAAATCTGAATATACTGCCTTAAAATTTTCCTCGTTCTAATACTTATTCATATATATTGCAATAATAATAATTATCATATATTATGTATATATTGTATATACAGGATATTCCACGTCAGGTCAATGAAACTTCAGGGTCTCATAGGAAATTGAATTTGGAACAAAAAATTTCCCATAAATATAGGTCTGGAAACGCTTCGTTAAAAAGTTATAGCTAATAAACTTCGAAAAAATCATGTTTTTTTGATGATATTTAAAAATAACTTAAAAACCCTTCATTCATTTGAAAAAAGTAACAAAATAAATCTGATGAGTAATTAAATAACAAACTAAATTACACCAATTTTATTTAATTCTGATAACCTTTCGATGGTCTTTGTGTAAACATTACATTCGTAGTGCAAATATTGCAAATGTAAACATAAAAATGTTCTTATTATTTAAATTTCGATCATAACTAATTATTCACAGAGTTTATTAGCTATAACTTTTTATAACGAAGCGTTTCCGGACCTATGTTTATTGGAACTTTTTTGTTCCAATTCAATTTCCTATAAAACTCTGAAGTTTCATTGACCTGACATGGAACACCCTGTATATATTTATTTATTTACCTCTCAATTATATAAAACAAATTAAGCTAATTAACCAGATTAAGAGAGAGAGAGAGAGAGAAAGAGAGAGAGAGAGAGAGTCAGATTACATTTGAAATTTTTTAAAATTGAATTTTTAAAAGGCAGTCTTATTTAATTTAAAATAAGAACAATAGCAAAAAATTAATATTAGTATTCATTAAGTTTATTAAGACTTTTTATGCGCGCGTCGATGCGAAGTAATCTGCTTAAAGTCTATTTTATATGTAAACATTTTCCTATGAATGTGTAAATCCCTCAAAGAAAATTTAGTGAGAGAAATGTAAGTGTCTCGGTACACATTGACAATTTAACGAAGTGGCTAGCGATTTAACGGATTACTGACACTGGGACAAGAGACCAAACACACCTCCACGTAAGCCGATTGCACGGTACAACCGTAATGCATTCTGACTTCTCGAATTTCGCTATTCCGGAAGGATCGACAGCGTAATGTACGTAAAAGCGGAAATGTGAATCCCGAACGGTCACGGCCAATTGATCCTCGCGTGCACAGTCCATTATCTCGAAATGAATTTACATAAAAAGTGACGACTCGGCGTTTTTCATCAGAATTACATTCTTCACGAAGAGAAGAATTAATTAAATGCTTTTAAAGAAAAGAATTAATTAATTTCTTTTAATAAGGAGATTGATAATTTCATATTTATAAAATTATGAATATATTCTTATACAAGAAATTTTTATATCTGATATTTAATCGATTGTTTACCTAATCTAAATATTTATATAAATGGTATAAATTAAATTACCACCTACTTCCTGATATTGTTTGTGTAACATAGTACGATAAACATAAAGTGAAAAATTCTTGGCATGATAATTCGTAAAATTGTAAGCGCGATAGAAAAGACTACGTGATCGAATTAAATCTATAAAATACAATTTCAAATTCTCTCTCTCTCTTTCTCATAATTAAAGCAAATTTACCAATGATTGATACGAACCGTACAGGTAATTTCTAAAGTATTATCCTGAAGAAGAAGCGTAATTCTGCGGTGAACTTGGCCACGTCCAGTCACTTTTAGCAGTCCATCCTTGGGATACTTCCTCGCGCGTTACTATCCTCGATTTTCTTAATCGAATACCGTCGCGGTTCGGTTGCGTTCTCGGCTTGCGTATTCGCAACGTATATCTGGCCCTGCTAGTGGGCAATTAGACAGGAGCGCATTCCCAGCCATTAGCTCGGAATGAATTCGCATTTAGCACGGCCCAGAGGGCAAACCGATCGGCAAATTCGATTTTCTCCGCGCGCAGGCCGTCTGTGGATTATTAAACTTATCGATCGAAACGCGGCATAGTCGAAGGTGTGGGAGGTAGCGCGGGAAGGTCATCGTGGCCACGGAGAGATCAGGTTATCACGATAGGTCGTAATCGCCCTTCGTGTCCAACAACTCGGCCTCGATTTACCATCCGGTTGGTTGATCGTCCCGTTTCCGTTTCTGCCCGTTTTATTGCATTTCTCTTCTTCTTTTTTTTTCTTCCTCGAGGTTATTTTGCGCGAACGGTGAAAATTAACTGCTGTCCTTTCTCTTTAAAGTACTGACGACGTTCACGCTTAAACGCTTTTTCTCTCTCTCTCTCTCTTTCTTTTCTTTTTCTCGGTATTTCTCTCGGTTACTAGTGCGCGGCTAGTACGAGCGAACACAATTGAATTTGCTTTTGTCGTCCGGGTACACACTACGTCTCATTAGGCGACCGCATTATACTCCCTCGGGTATATCAACGGAACTCTCCCCCGTTCTGATCCGACGACGACGACGAACAATGTATGCACGGTGCCGGATGATGTTGACGATCTTGTAATTGCGCCGTTATATCGATGCTCGATTCGCTTCGCCGGCGAATTCGTCACGGATGCTGGAATGATTCAGAAATTTTACCCCCGTCGTTATTGCGCTTTACAAATTCCGATATAAACTCGCACACATTGCTTCGCTCACGTTGCGTGGAATTTCTCTCTCGCAATGCGTTGCCTGCGTTGTTATATAAATCATAAACTATGCGCGGTATATAACATAGGCAGAGAGCACTTTTTTTTTTTTCTGGAAGAGACATGAGCTCTCGTGAGCCGGTCAATGTTATGCAAAAATATTTCAAGTATTATTTATCGCCTATCGCACGATCGCTATGTCGGTTTTTCAATTTCACCGTTTGATGCGTGCAATAATAATCTGCCGATGACAATGCATCGCGATATCATGATATGAAATTAACCCGATCGCTTGGCATTCCGCGATAAGCGTACTTATACAGGCCGATAACAAACATCAAGCGTAAACACGTTGTTTATATCTCCACTTAAGCATGCCGAAAATCACGTCGTTTGCCAGGATCTAATCGCGCGCGGGAAAGGTAACATCATGCGATATCAGGCCGATAAATAATAAAGCTGCCTAGTCACTGTTGCACATTAATTAATAAGACTGACTTAATCGGCACAGATCGCGCGATATTCTATTCATCGATTTCTACAATCTCAAGTTATACTTTACGAACGTTTCAAATTAATTTATTACAATTATTCTTGTCAATATTAATAATTAAAATCAATAATGCAATAGCAATAATAATTAAAATTATGTTAATCTTCTTTTATTTGTTTTTATTTATCTTCTCTTTCACATCGAGAACCAATAGATTGTTTTCAAAAATACAAAAACCCAACCAATAGAGTTTATAATTTATAACTAAAATATACACGTAAAAGTAAAGCGATTCAAGTTTGGCAAAAGTCCAACAGTCAAACGAAAAAAAAAATAAAGAATTTATATTCATGTGTTATCCGGTATGATTACATTTTGCAGAGATCCCGGGCAGATGGAGGAGGCATTGTCCGCACGGGCCGATGATGTCGGGTCCCGGGTGCAACCTGGTCGGCGAGGGAACCACGGCGGCCGAGACCGGAAATGCAGCGGCCGCTGGCAAATGCGTTTGCGGTCCATCGGTGCCCTGGTGCCCGGGTGAGCCGCGGCCCTACATGTACACGTACGCTGCGTGATGTATGGTGATGCTGGTCTCGCGCGCGCGTGCGTGCGTGCACGCGAGAGGCGAGCGGGCCGCCGCTGCGGCGGCGCGATAATGCGCGTCAAAGCGCACTAATGGCTAAATTAATTTCACGCCCGATTCGTCAAATGGCGTGAATTACATCCATCTATCGGAAGGGAATCGGTCGTAATGTGCGTATAACGCGGAGCTATCAATTTTAATTATCCCCCTCTGTGTCAGTATCACAGTGCACGGGATGCTTGTGTAATCGGTGAGAGTTTGTGTGTATATCGCTCGTAACAATTTGTTCCGATCCATTGCATTCCTTTGCAAACGCGGAGATTGATGATTGAGCTTTTAGACGGAATAATTTTATGTATCAGCAGAGATAAAAAATTGATATCTCAATTTACGTTTATAATTATGCCATAAAAGTGATAAAAATTCCAGTCTCTTTCTTTTTTTTTATAGAATCGTAAAAAAATGACTACCATAATTGGATTTTATAGCGAAGACTTTATGCTTCTAAAAACGAAGAAAATGTTTTATAGTCGCATCCATTCCCTCGATTATTGTGCCGGGAGAAATGAAGACGGTCTGTACGTTTGGTTGTTTACCGTGTTTTCAAGTATCTTCGACCGCATAAATTCCTCGACTTGTTCCTCCTCCTGAATGGACAGTATTCATATCGTATTGATAAATTCATGAACTGATCGAAAATATCCTCGGCAAACATCGCTTGTGAGTTATGTCAATGTGCAATATGCAAAGGTCAATGTTTATTTGCTATTATGCTTTTGCTTTCTCAGAATTGCCACAAAGTTGTCTCTATCTTTATTTATCTATCTGTATCGAGCGTGCACCACATCGTGCGATAAAAATCGCTGACGTGACACAGACAGAGACAAAATCGATTTCGCGTAAAAAGGAACGACGACAACGTGTCAAGGAATTTATACTACGAAACGACGATGTCGTCGACGTCGTCGTCATTGTCATTTCCGAATGAGTCAGAGATAGAAATCGTCCGTGCATTGCATCGTGTCTTGTAACGTCGCGCACTTGTAATAACCAAATAAAATTTTCGGGTCATGAATGTTATTATCGAGTAAACATTTATCCGGTTCGTGAACAAAAGTTAGCTCGGTGCCGTCTGTTTTAAACTCGAACTGCTGTCGCTTTTAACACATCGCGAACGATTTATTGCGACACGTCGCGATTTTATCGACGCGTTCCATTAATTACGGCAAATAATTACAATCGGCTATTTATTTTGTCATCGATAATTTTTTTTTAGTACGGGTTATATTTGTTAATAGAGAATTTCGTCTCTTTTTTTTTTACGAATACTTTCTGCATGACATCACTTTTTAAGAATGTTTAACTGAAGCTTGATTTTTCGGACGAACTTTATTTGCGAGATTGATTTTATTGTTTATTACTTTTGTGTCCTACAAATAAAAGGTTGATTGCGATTCGAAACAAAGGAGTTGAGAATTGATAATCAATATGCGGACTATGTAGCCTTATTGTCCGATATTAATTGCTGTATTTTTATTATCGATTGTTACTACAGGAGAACGTGTCTTTTCGCTGTCTTTATACTGTCTCTCCTCTCGTCAGCGCGCAGACAACGTCCGAGCGCGGATGAAAAAGAGAAACAGTAGCGAGACGAGTGAAATACGCGCGAAACTATGTCGGGCGCGCAAACGACGGCTCGGTGTTAATGAAAAGAAAACACAAATAGCGACGGAGGTGAGGACAACGGCTAAGAAAAATGGGAAAGCCAGACTGAAGGGGATACAGACGGTATAGCGGTAATGAGAAAAGGACATAGCTAGGAGCGCCACGTTCATTCGTTCGTTCATTATCGGCTCCGTCCTTTCTGATTAGAACGCATAAAAACAAGCACGTGAGGGAGAAGATTGTGTTACTCGGCTAACTTGGAATGACTTTTTTTTATACATTTCTTAATTTATTATATAACATGAGTTCTCTGATACTGGAAACGTCTCTCGTCTATAAAAACTAATTGAATTTTTTACGTAGTCAGAATTTTTCGCGTCCGCGTCATTCAATTATATCATTAATATTGAATTTCTTGAATTAACGAATATATTCGTGGTCTCTTAAATTGGTAACATCAATATATTTATCATTGGAAAATAATTAATATTATTAATCACAAATATTATTAAATTAATAATCGAAAATAGATTATTTATCTGTGTTATTTCATTGGGTGCGTAATTATATTTTGGATTTATACTTTACGTATATATATCGCATTAATATATATTATATATAACGTATAGCAAGTGATCAGGCGTATATTCGATTCTTTTTACTCTCTGATTTTATAGATAGTTGTTCATTTCGAAAGAGATAACTATGTGTAATAGACAACTCCATAATAGTTATGATTAGAGCTCTCATCTAGCTGCTCAGAATCAATAGTTAACTCATTCTCTTTTCGAGTGCAACTTCCAGAAGTCCATCTCGGCACAGTGCGGTGTTCAACGTGTAACGAGGTTGTTGGCGAGCGAGTAACAAAAGTAGTTACCCCGACCGGCGCAGAAAGTTAAATTCGATTCGTTGAGAAAAGTTTAATCGCGTACGTTCTATAAGGGCAGACGGATTGTTCCTTTGCCGGTGAGTTAAGTACACGAGTAAAATACCTAAGTCCAAAAGAGGAACAAAGGAACCAGCGAGCCGAGTTCGTTTTGGTGTACCGAGGCATACGCGAATGGCACTTTCTAAATTAGAATCATGAATTGTCCCGTAATGTTTTTTATTTTATATTTCAACAGGCGCACATTAAATTTAAATTAATAAATAATCATTGGTTATATAACAATAATTAGTGCATTTATTGCAATCATTATAGAGACTTTTTATTCCTCGCCACCTAAGAACATTTGTCTTAATTATTGTAACATGCTAAAATTCTTACGTACTTAATTATCAAGAAGAAGAAAATTTTTAAGAATAAAAAAAATGTTAGAGCGATTGTGTTTAGTTACAATGAAAAATCACGTCAATTCGCTTAATCGATATAAAAGTTTGCTTTATTGCTTTGCACGTTAAATAACAATTTTTCACGATTAATATTCCGCGAATTTTGCCAGTGTTTTTTAACAGACATCATCTGATGCATAAAACGGATTTTAATAGAAATATTTTGGCAATATCGCCTCCCACAATGAAATAAACTGCTGTTTGAAACGGGTCGCGAGTTTCATTGAACCTCATTGAAAGTAATTGTTTTCCGGTTAATTAAGTGCAATGCCCGATATTGTTCTCTGATCGAAATAGAAAAATTATTGACTCTTATGGATGTATTATATCTTGTAATGCAATACATTTAGAGGGAAAAGCGTGAAATATCAGAGACGTAATAATAGATACATACGCGTGTATGTACGTGATCGAGTTGCATATTACGTCTCTATTATGTTATATCGGCATTTGTAAAATACGTTAATAGAACGGTAATTTTTCCGCGTGTGTATTTATTCTAGAAAAATAAGATAAATATATAGTCAGATATTGTTACATGGCTTGTTAAAATAATTTAATTATTGGTTTTCTTTACTAAATTTGAAGTTTCTTAAGTGCACTAGTTTTCAAAAATAAAGAGGATTGTGAAAAGCGGAAATAAAAGGCTTTTTTTATTTTATCAATAGAAATACCAGAGAGCTCTCTCTCTCTCTCTCTCTCTCTCTCTCTCTATCTTATTGTAATAAACATTACAATAACGCTTCCAAAAATGATTAACAAGTTGATTTATATGCAGCAAATGTTCCACAAGCATCTCTTATTCATTCGTTAGAATCTGCGAGTAACAATGAGTTCATAATGAAGCTGCCTTCAATGTATGTAATGTGTATATGTGTTGTGTGTGTATATATATATATATATATATATATATATATATATATATATGTTGCTAAAATTGGTCGTTGCCGAGGCCGACCTGTCGTTAGCAGAAATTAATTCGTTTAATAACGCGTACAACGCGAATTTACGCTCAGCTAGAAGTTTGACGTCGAGATCGACTTTGCAACACCTTCAATTTCAGTTTCTGTTAGGCCATTATGCCCGATTCATTTTATATCGTGGCCTAAACAACTCTAGCCGTCGGGCGTTCCCATGACAAACTTATTCGATGCGCTAATTTACGGAATATGAAGCAAATTGCAAATCGCATCGCGGGAACTAATAAAACTTTGCTGATGCTTAGTGAGCGTAAATTAGCGCCACATGACAAGAATTCGTTCGAGTGGATTTTCACTTTGCGGATGGCAATGTCGGAACGTTCAAAGCATCTGGTTAATAAGTTAAATCTCTAATTACTAGAACAGCAAAAGGATTACGTATCGTCGAGAATATGGTGAAACGCTGTAGGTAATTATTATTCATTCTTTGAAACAGAAAAAGCTTTAATTGCTTTTCCATACATTAAACTTTAAACAATGGCTGTTACGGCTGAGTTGCTTTTTCTTATACTTTATTAGAACAAAAATAATAGCGAAGAGGTTTTTTCAAACTTTGCAATTTTATAGTATCTCTAAAATCATTAATAAACTCTCACACTATCTCTTGCATCTCATCTATAAAGCTAATAATATTTTATTATATTGAAAGTAATATCGAGCTGAAAATTAATATATTTTTTACTTTCAACAGTAAAAACAATTTATATATATTCTATGACTTAGCTTTTTTCATTTCTTTCAGAGAAAGAAACACGATTAAGATTATTTTAATACTTTTTAAAGAAAAACAGAAACAGTTGTTTTTTTTTCACGTGGCGAGAATGCAAAGGTGCATTTTATCACTTCACTGCTTCATTTCCGGATACGAAATATATTTTGGTCCGTTCGCCATATGTCGAAGAACGTAACGTTGAAGAAAAGCGTTTATGAAACATTCCGGGACATCCCTCGTTCCTTTATACCCGTGGCAATTTTGTTCGTCTTCGTTCATAGGTACTCCTCTCACGTCTTGAAT